CCCTGAACTATGCTATGCAATCTACTCTGTGTATGCACACATTCTTGTGTGTGTGTGCATGTGTGTGTGTGTGTGTGTGTGTATGTGTGTACTGTATGCATGTTTGTGTATAATCCATTAAATACATATTTAATATATAACATAACTATAAAATATATCACATACTCATATATAATGATGTATTAAACGTTTAAAGATGTATTATATATATGTGTGTGTGTATATATATATATACACACACACACACACATATATATATATAAAATCAAGTTATTTTATGCTCGAGTATGCGCACACCCATATGCTTCCAATAACCCCAACATTCTGACAAACTCATTCAGTTCATATTCATAGACCACTGGGGACAGCATCTTTAATATTTTTTTAGAAAATTCTTCATGGTCCTTGATGCTAATGCTTTAGGTCTGAGAAACAGCCACAAAACTTCTGCACTGGGACAGGGCTGGTCTGGAAAGCATCCTCCTCAGAGCAATTCCAGAAGACAAACATTCCCAAGTGCCACCTGGCCAAGGCACCCATGTCTGCTGTCAGCCTTCCCCCCTGTCATTAGGAACCACTCAGATGGGTAGCTGCTCCCTTGGGGAATGTGAGGGGAAATGGCTGGATGGGGAGTTCAGGAGTTGAGATACTAAAAGCCTCAGTCACCCAAAACATCTATATTAATGACTGCAACAATTACATACAGGTTAATTCAACTCAGTGGTATTAAAGCTAAGCCCCTAGAAGGCAAGAACATATCCTAGTCATATTTCACGTCTCCCAACACAGGCACAAGATTAATATCACAAAAGGATTTTGGAACATGTGATATACTGTGCAAGCAGGACAGCCTTTTGTTGAACTGAGGCTACTTGGTCCAGGCCAGGCTCAAACCTTGGGGTCAAAATGGAAAGCTGTATTGTCTTTTCCCACATCTTTGGTCATCTTGATGGGTTTCCCCTGCTCCGCTGAGCTAGAGATGAACCAGCCAGGAAAAGCAGCCGATTGAAAGGTAGAAATGCTGCCATTTGTATTGACGTGAAACACAAAAGACTCCTCTGCTTTCAGGGCATGATGTAATTCCATTATGTCCTTCTCCTGAAAAACAGGAAGAGAAAGCCCATCAGATGAGGTTATAGAATTTCAGAATATGAGAACTGGAAAGGATCTCAAGAGCCATCCAGTCCAACCCATACACAAAAGATGTCTCCACCATAATATATATCTTGATGGTCATCCAGACTCTACTTGAAAACCTCCAAGGACTGGCAATCCATCTCCTCTTGAGGCTGTCCATCCACTCTGAGACAGATCTCATTGTTGGGATGGGTTTGTTGATATTGAGCCCAAATCTGCCTCTTTGTAACTTCTACTGGTTGATCCTAGTTCTGCCCACTGAGGCCAAATGGAATGTCAAGTCCCTCTCCCATGAGATAGCCCTTCAACTACTTGAAGACAGATATAATATCCCCCTCCCAAATCCCCATGTCTTTCCTTCTCTAGGCTGAGCATGCCAGATTCCTTGAACCAAGTCAAAAATGACAAGGAATCAAAACCATCCATTATCTTAGTTGCCTTCCTCTGGACACTCTTCATTTTATCTATGTCCTTTTAAAAGCCATGCTGTCCAAAATTGATACAATACTCCACATGAAAGTGAGACAAGAGCAGGGTACAATAGGACTGTCATTTACCTCTTCCTGGAAACCATCCCTTTTAATGCAGCCAAAACTTACATTTGGTTAGTTTTTGTTTTTGTTTTTTGTTTTGCTGCTTTTTCCCCAGAAAATTTTAAGCAAATTAACCTTTCCACTGGCAGCTAAATTCTATTGAAGCTGGATCAGAAAGACATGAATTCAAGTCCAGCCTCAGATAGTTACTAGTTATGTGAGTCTAGGAAGTCACTTAACCTCTGGTTGCCTCAATTTCCACATCTTTAATGTGGAGATGATAAGAGCACCTTCCTCACAGGGTTGTTGTCAGAATCAGAAGACATAACATCCATAAAGTGCTTTGCAAACCTTAAAGTGCTATATCAATGCTAGCTATTATTATCCATCACCATTGCCTTTCAAAGGGAATGTCAGTTGACTGCCCTATTGTTGAACTAATACCTGGGACTTCCCAGACCATTACTCCCTTTGCTGGCCACAATTCCCTTATGTGTGGCGTCCTCCCCAGTAGAAGACTTTTCTATTTACTTTCTCAATGCTGAGAACAGTGTTAACTCATAGCAAATACTCAATGTTTTTTATTAATTCTGTTCTGAGCACCACATTTCAGTAAGAACTTTAAAACTGGAGAATATCCAGAAAAGAGAGATCAGAATGATGAAACATGTTAAGATTGTGCCACATGAGAATGAGATGAAGGTGATGGAAAATGCTATCCACATCCAAAGAAAGAACTATGGAGTTTGAATGCAGATCAAGGCATACTATTTGCTGTTTTTTTCTTCTCTTTTGTTTTGTTTTCTCTTTCTTGTGGTTTCCCCCTGTTGGTTCTAATTCTTCATTACAACATCACTAATGTGAAAATATGTTCCATAGGAATGTATATGTATAG